CTTAAATTCGATTTCCTGAAATATTTAGAAGAAACGTCTAGAATAATCTCATGGTCGATCATTACTAAATAAGGTGCAATCATCTATAACCCAAATTTGGTATATTCCCTGACTGTATTAACAATTATTCTATGTGTACTTTCTGTGCATATGATACGGAAATTCTCAAACTTTTTTCACAGAAAGAAGTTATGTAATGTACTTATTAGCAATTATTCAATGCGTACTAAAATCAATAAAAGCAATAAGTATTGTTGTATGTGCATTTGATATGGAAATTCTCAAACTTTTTTCACAGAAAGAATGATATGTGTACTTATTAGCAATTATTCTCTGCATACTAAAATAAAGCCACTACCGAAAATGATATATTTAGCTTATCTTTAATTAACTTATATTTAATATACAATATAAAGGTTGTCAATCATTTGGTTGGCATAAGTTGGAATGTGAATTTCTTATAAATAATAATTGCATGAATTTAAAATTACAAAACCTTTTTTAAATACATCAAAGAGAAGAATTATGATACTCAAAAAATAAACATCGAATTAAAGGTGAATAAATTCTTGTACATTATTATATCACTGCCTTAATTTAACAATTTTTTTTATAATAATTAGAAAAATATCGTTTATCAAGATTTTACAAGTTTATATTTTATTTTTGTAGTTTGGCTAACTACTATAATATAATATATTAAATTAATACTTCAACGAATATCTTAATTTATCAAAAACATACTTCAACAAATATCTCGATTTATCAAAAAAAAAAAAAAAAAGGTTACAAATTTCAAATAGTGAATCCAATAAACAATGAACAATGAGTATTTGGATAAGTATCCGGACCATGGGTATTTAGATGATGAGTACCTGAATGATAAGTACCTGGATGATGAGTCTTTGAATGATGAGTATTTGGATGATGAGAACTTGGATGATATGATATTAGAGTGCGAAGATACTAATATGAAGAGATTAGAATCCAATAATACAGATGGTTTAAACAGTAATGAAGCTTCACCACAGCCTACTACATCATCACAAATTAATAAGCATAATCTGGTTAAAAAATGAAAAAAAAATTGAAAAACCAGGTGGTAGCCCTGTTAAAGTTTTTTATAAAACAGTATCAACTGATGATATAGAGTTTTGGGCCTATCGTCACAAAGTTTGCATTCCACAAGTGAAGTACCTGAAGAATGGTTCTACTTCAAACTTGTGGTGACATATGAGGAGTAAACATCATATTTCGAGGGCTATGATTGAAAATGGCAGAGTAAAAATTTTTTTTTTTTTTTTTTTTTTTTAAGGTGAGGTTTTGCCTTTATCTTTATTAATAATTTGTGTTGAGAATCCACTA